ATGTATGCATGTATCCTATATATATGTGTGTATGTATGATTGGCGATCTAAGCGAAGCTGCTTCATCCAGACTATTATCCACGCTACTCAGATATACTTTGGAACCCTAAACGGGAGGGGTTTCACCGTCTTAGCATGCGCAAGAGAACTCAGTTTCCAGGATGCTCTCTTATCGCTGATCGAATCTGCTATTTCTCACCCAGTACGCGTCGTCAACTAGATCTTGAGCTTTAAGAATATCCGATCCACAAAGATTTGGCTAAGGTGCATTCTGTACATTCTAACTCTCGTTCGAACTTCATCCGCATATTTGTTATTCGTTATCTGCCTCGTTCGTTCATGGATCCAATTATCTTTGAAGCCAGTCTTTGGCAGAATCTCCACGGTTGATAATTGCACCCAGGCCAACACCCAATGAAAGAAGTTATTTTTTTCTGCTTTTTATCAGTCTTGTACGTGAGTAGTTGTAGGTATGAAGTGAAGTAAAAGTACCGCGGAAATTAGTTTGTCTTGTAAGTGTTGTACCGTAAAAACTTAAACTTGAAATTCTCAAAGTAATGTGTTTAAATATATCAGATGTCGTGCTCTGAACAGAGTCTGACTACAAAGATTTTGCGACGTCTCAGTGATGTTTGATGTTTGTTAACAATACAGTGATTTGCTCAGTGTGATGTACTTCTGTTGTTTTCTGTATTTGTTTCTCGCTACGGTTGTGTGCTGATTCAACAGTTCATTTGTACAGTATGATCGTTTTTGTCAGCTTTAAGCGTCAAAGGGCGATTCTGCCTTCTGTGATATGCACATTCTTTTCAACGGTCGATTATAAAAATATGTAACTCTGAAAATGCTATATAAGAAATGTACTTGCATTCCTTCGTGCATTTATTTATTTGTTCATTCATAATCTTTTGTTGTACGATAACATTGACATAGCATCAGTTTCATTCAGTCATAATGATGTTACCGATATCGGTTATCGGTAACAGGATGCCTCGACTGCTAATTATGATCTTACCACATTTGCTTTATGCTTGTATGTTTTAACCATGCATGAAGAAAACATTAAAGTATTCTTGGTCCACAATCGAAAATTTTTCAGTGAAATATCCCTTCACTCATTCGCTGACTAGTTCATTCATTCACTTTTTCATCCATTCATTAATTTGGTCGTTTGTTGATTCATTCGATTTGCAATTTCGACCTAATTCACTCTTTGCGGAGGAACGTAGATGTTCTTTGATGGCAGCACGAAATATGGTCTATTAGATGATCTGTCATTATCGACGTTACGCCTCATTCCTCATGGGCTTTTCTCAAAGATAGAAAACTATTCGAACTTTGAAGTTTTTCTTCTTTTCCACTGGTAGGCCTTCTGGCTCCAAATCTGACTATCGCTACGGATAACAAGAAAAACAACTGATACTCAGCCAACTTCCTGTCTTGAAGAGGGCATTTAAAACACAGGCCGAAACCTTATACTGGTTAATCATCGATTGATTATAATTTTTGCGTTGTGCATAAATAAATCGTGTTTTATGCTGCTTTTCGTGATGACCTCTAACGGTCGATTGATGTTTATGCAGTAGCATATGAAATTTACCAGAGCCTGAATTATCGTTCGTGATGAGCGTGGTGTATTTTTATCGAACAAAATGATGCGATATGTACCTAGCAATGCAGGATCAAATACAATGGAGCCATGGCCCACTTAAAAGGCTCCTTTAAACAGTTGATAGCAGGGTGGGACTTACGCTGTAAAATCTGGTCTTATAGGGTTTATGTTATGCATTATGCTGACATGCGGTTCTTCAAAGTCTGACTCTGCTTAGTAAACCTATATGATGTGCTTGCTCTTATGTACCTTGCCTGTCATTTGTCTGGACTGTTTGTGGCACTGTTACCAATATTGAAGTTCTTCATCTTCACGCTGATACCATAATTTTGAAGCTGAAGGGCTGTTTTCAAATATTCATTTAGAACTCGTTTGAATGCATTTCAGTATTGTTAATTTACACTGTTATATGGTTTGCGTTGAATTTTTTTAGTAATTGTGGATGCAGTATCAGAAACTACTTATTCATTGGATGACTGAGAAGTCTTTCGCGTTTTGAGATAAACGTAAAAAATAATCTGCTCGTTATTCATACGGGTGTTTTCATATATTTTTGTATCACCACTTAAACCGTTTGAACTGCAGACGCATCGCTGAAGCAACTGCAATTGTGACGTTTTGTGACATTTAAACTTCAGCCTACATTTTGTTGATTTTGGTTATGGTTAAATGGATCGAAAACGGAAAAGCTTTGGATTTTCTGGATTCAGGGTTGCCTCGAAGTCCAGCGATTTGTCTTCTTCTGTCGATAAAGATAGCTCGACGAACAGTCGTAGAATCCATGATGCTGAAATGGAGGCTTCTGGTTCCCTGCAGTATGGCACCAATCGTAAATGGTACATGGACGACGACGAGTATGTTTTAGTATATTGTTGATCATTCTATGTAACAATCGAGTCCAATTTTTCTAGGTCATTGGAAGATGACGGAGAAAGCGCAGAAGCTCCATCACGAAGATCATCTAACCAGGAAGATGACGAGGATGATCCTTTGGACAGTTTCATGGCAGGAATTGAGGTTTAATTTCTTTTATAGGATTAAATATCTTTTTTTACTCTGTTTACTTCAAGGCCCAAGCAAGGAAAGACAAGGAAGTAAGTGAGAAAAAAGCAGTGATGGAACCGCCTTCTGAAAAGAAGAAAACCGCTCTAGGAAGAACCGACATCGAAGACGAGGATGAACAAGAATCGTACTTTAAGTATTCAAAATCACGTATTTCACAGCGAGTTTACTAAAGCGATGGTTTCCTTGCAGATGGGTGGAAGAAAATAAAGAAAAACTGGAGCGAAGTTCAGACAATGAGGAAGATGATGTTGAATATGATGAGGAAGGGAATCCGATAGTTTCTCATAAGAAGGTAAGCAAGTCCGATTTCGCATCGATTGATATTCTTTTAAGTTTTAGTGTCTTTAAAGCATTTTACAAACCCTGTCTCTTAAACAGCAGTAATTATAAGTGTCCACCATTGGTAAACAGTTAACACAGTGTACACTTTTCCGTCGTTTCTGGACAATGCAAATCGAAATTAGGTGGTACACCTTGGTGTGATTATTACTTTGCGGGGGGTAAAGCGAAGTGCAGCTACTTGGAGCGCTCGCACTTGAAAGCATGACGGTGCACCTGGTCCGTTCTGGCCTGACCACATGCAAATACGATATTGTCTTTTTTGCAAGTCACAGACTTATTGCTAGTTTCTTGTTTGTTTTGGCTGAACCAACGTCAGGTTAATTCCCTGCTCAAAGGATTTGCGGTTAAGATAAGGGTTGTCCCTTGAGCGGATTCGAACCCACACCTCCGGAGTTTAAAACTAACTTTTTCATACTGTCACCATTCCACAAAAAGTTTGGAACGCTTCATGAATCATTCTTGCACAAGGACCAAGCTTGTATTATTATTCTTTATAACATTCCGATTTTGATGTGTTTCCATGAAATGCTGTAGATTATGCAGCTTCCTTTCGGTTTCACCATATTTCTATCCAAGGTCATATGGAATCTGCTTTTGGTGCAACGGAATAAACGTTCGCTCCACTCCGTAAGTTCTAAATAGCAGCAATC